ACTAGAGTTCAAAGAAATTAATTATTAGATCAATGAAATAGTTTACCATAGAAATATGAAGTTAATGTAACAAAACTAAGAAGTTTAGTAGTTTAGCACAATTCTTTTATTTTGCACCTAACGTTTATTTCTACGTACTCATTTAAAGACAATTGGACTTAGTGCTAAAATTTATTAAAGAATTAAAATGTAAATAAAATATGCACTGATATTTATATGTCTATTTTCAGGGTTCTCACAAAATCAAACTCTAAATTTTACACCGTAGGAAGCTCTATGAGTCTAGTTTCAAACGCAACAAACGGAACTCAATTCTGACTTTTCTATACGAAGCTATAGCCAATTTCCCAAAGCTGCGTAGAGCCTCCTACGAAAAATTCTAGATTTTCTAACAACTTGAGATTATGAACCTTTTCTTAACAAAATTCACTTCCTTGGCTCAAATTCAACCATTAAAGCAACCAAGAATCAAAGGTAAGTGGGTTCACATAAGGATTATAAAGACAAGTAAATTTTCGGGGTCTCACAAACGGGATCTGTGGAAAGTGGAGTTCCTATGGATTTGATACTTACTTGGTTGACGGAGGGTCAACATGGAATTTGATCAAGACCTTGACCCTGCTACGTGGAATTTAGCTCCTGAGAGCTACAATATCCTTGAATTGTTTCTGCTTACTTTTCCTACTTGAAATGTTAATTACTCGAACTATACAGTTTCACTTACTATATAAATGTTATTGTTACTTGGACTATGTGTTTGCATGTGTGTTTCTTGGCGTCACTAAGCCTTCGCTCACCCCATTAGTTTATTTTCCTTAACAGGAGCTTAGGGTGGATAAAATTTTGAAAGAAGCCGACTTGATTACTTTTGATTAGATTCTGGAAATGTAATTGATTAGTTGATTTCTAGTGATTGTATTTGTGGAAAGTTGATGTACTTTTGGTGACTTATGATGTAAGATTTGAATGTTCTATTACGGAAGCGACTTTTCTTCATTTCAACTTTTATTATTTTGGTCGTTATCCTTTATGTTTAAACTTGACTTGTATCGAGTCCCGACGAGAGTTGGGTAGGCATTCCGTGGATACCCTTTGGTTTGCCTTGTGTCGCGCCCCATTTTTATAATAAAATAGTATAATAAGTGAGTGAGATATGGTTTGAAAAATAGTGATGTGTGTGAAAAAAAAAGGCCATGGGACTTTGAAATGCGACGGTTTGGCCAAAATAGTAATCTAAAAAGGTTTTGATAAGAGTGTAGGAGTCGCCACTTGGTATCGAGTTAGGGTGTACCAAGTCACCCAAAAAAACGTGAATTTAAAAATGTAAAAAAAAAACCTTTTTAGATTGACTCGAAAATCTACAATAAATCAGAGAAAATGGTTCGGGGGTCATGGTTGAAGAGAGGGAAGGCAAAGACAATGTCTAAGGCACCCTCTCAACCTAGCCTAAGCTAGTTGCATGATTTAGTCATGATTTTTCTAATTTCTAGCCAAAGATGTATCGCATTTGGATGTGACTAACAGGATGCAATCCTAAATCTAATGATGAATCGAAAGGGACAAATATCTCTTAGAGGCTCGATCGGACTCGATCACATGAGTTGTGATAGCCAAAGATAAGCCCTCTAAGAGGTCACGAGTAATGCTAATGACGAAAAAATGAATGTATGCAATGTGAAAACATGAGTGTAACAGCCTCACTTTCCCCTAAGGCGAACCAAAGGGGTTAGCAGACTGCCTGCCCAGCTCTCGCCAGGACTACGGATCAGACTAGAACTATCTATAGCGATCCGGAACTTACGAACGAGCGTAAACGAATCAAAATGGTAACATTACCCCAAAATAAAAAATGAAATCCGGAGTCGGCCATTAATAGTGACCGACCCGTCAGAACCCAACCGAAATAGCCAACAAACATTCACATCTGAACTTTAGCGATTACAATCCACAATGACATACATAAGTTTTCAAAAGTTCATACATATACACGGTTTGCCAAATCAAAAGAGAAAACGCCTCAAAAGTCCACTTAGGGTTTTACTACATGAGCTATACAAAGGATATGTTTAACTAGCTCAATTTGGCAGCCATTTGTCAAATCCAGACCAAAAGTGTTTATTTTCCTGTAAGGAAAACAAAAGGGAATAGAAAGGGGTGAGCTTGCGCTCAATGAGGTACCAAACAGATAGCATTAAAATCATGGCATTTCACATTTAACAAAGCAGATACACATGTCAGATGTAAAGCAAAAGAACCAATGATTCAAATCAGAAGGATACGGATGGCTCTCAGGAGCCAAATTTCCCAGCGCAGTACTTGATCCAAACCGGTTGACTCTCCGTCAACGTATATCGAACCAACGCGTCCGTAGACCCCTCTTTACACCGAATTCCGTCCACCAAACACCCCTTTACCGGGCCCGCTCACCGTAACTGAACAGAAATGGTAATACTCGAGTATACCCGGAATCAAGGGTCTCAATACCCAAAGATCCCAAAACAGACTACCGTGGTTCGTTATCTAATCGTCCAGGCCCTTGCCGGCCCGACTCGAATAACTTAGCCACAGGATTTGAGCTCATAGGTCACAGAAAGGTCGTTGGACTCAAGCTTCCAAACGACGTCAGAACAGATACAGATCCAGATACAGATAACAGATTCAGATACAGAACAGATAGCAGATTCAGATACACATTCAAAATTGGCATATGACCAGACCAGAGAACGAGTGTGATAAAGTACACCCTCGCCTCCATTTGATCAAAACAGTACTTGGCTTCAATAGTCATAAATCAAGTATTCAAATATTCAGATATTTCACATAAAGGGTAGCAGGCAGTGGTACACTCACCGGCTCAACTTTCACTTCAGATTGGCCTTAATCGCCAAGAAACCCTAACATAATCAAAATAAACCAATTGAAGGTTTCATATCCAAATCGATCAAACGGAATGCACAAGTGAGGCTCGACTACACGTCCTATGCCTTGCCAAATAAATACTAATGCAAGGGTGCAAGAACATGATTTTCTTGGAAACAAAAAGATAACATGAAGACCTAGGGTCAACAACCCAAAAGCCCTTCATTTCCATCAAAAGGCATCCAACTTAAACAACCAAACGGCCTAGAACTCGGACAGCATTTCCCCTAAATTTCTTACTTTTCCAGCCATTAAGGCTTCATTACTTCCTCAAATCAGTCCCAAAACCTCACACAAAAGTCATCTCATTTCCCAAAAGCCGTTCACTAGGCTCCAAGTAATACAAGTACAAAAGTTAGCTAGGAAATGACCGGAATAAGAGTAAGCCTTAAAACATGCAAACAAGTACAATGAGACTCGATAACGAATCATAAAGCCATGCCAATCACAAACCCAATAGGGTTTCATATACATATATATAAGCATAATAGCAAACCAGAAATTCAGAAAATATAACTCATTTGATCAATCAACAAAAACAGTTTTGGCCTCCGTATACGGTAATGGCACAAAATACGTTACGCTTATCGGATGAGGGTGTAAGACCCACCATCTCGAAGCTAAAAGATAGGGCTACAACAATGTAGAAGGCCTCTCAGTCCAAATCCTAGTACAAATAGGTTAAAAATGCAGAAAACCAAGCCAGAACCGTAATTGCAGGTTCCCAAATCACACAAAACTGTAATCAGTACAAGTCAGTCTATACAGGTCCAAATGCATTGATTCAAAAGGAATATTAAAGCTAAGACATCAAGCTACATTTCATCAGAAGACACCATCAACAAAATCCAAATCAATTCCAGTCAAAACAGACAATTACTATCGCAGTTCGCACATTCTGATCACCAAAAACAGCAACAGTAAAAACGTCATAACTCACTCTACACTACTCCAAATTCCCTGAAATTTTGCAGACACTTCAAACTCATCAATACCTACAACTTTCATGTTTTGAGAAAAGTCCAATTCAGCCTCTATCTATGACCTAAAATTTCGGACAGATTAGGGGTTCATGAACCCTAACTTTTCACATTTCAATCCAAATCCAAAATTGGTTGCATTTATCATCAATTCACACCTACTAGAGTCAAAGCCCCTTATTACTAACCATCAAAAACAACCACACCATCAAGATCATATGAAACCAGAAAATTCCTCATAAAATTGAAAACTTCACCAAATCAAGTCAAATAAAGAAATAAATCATATAATCCATCACTTTAGCCACTTCTAAGCCAAACATAAACATCATTAGGTGTAGTAGGGTGTTCAAGCATCACTTACCAAGAAATTAAGAGAGAGAGAGATGTTGGACACCTTAGCTCTTCAAACAAACTCCACCAAACTACTTACTAGCACCAAATAGAAAGGTTTTATGGAATGGAATCAAGATCAAATGGTTGGATGATCACATTCAAGCAAAATGGAAGCAAGAATCTTGAAGAATTTCCTTTCTTCTTAGCTCTTGAAAGTCGGCCACAAGAAGGTAAGAAATGGTAAGTTTTTTCAATTTTTTGTGAGATATTAACTAATTTTGGTCAAAAGTCAAAAATGTGAATAGTAAACCATAAAGTCCAACCAATCATATTGTGACACTTGTCACACTCATTAATGCATTCTTATCTTTCTTTCCCTCTCACATCAATCACTTCACACATTCTACTTATCTCTTAACACCCGATAAATTTTACACAGTATCCGGAATCTAACCTTATTGGCCCAATTTTTCCGAACTTTCCGCACTAGTGGGTCCCACGTCCTTTCTATATACTTAATTTTTCAAAAACTATCCAATGCTAGAAAAATTATCTAAAAACTATGGGCCTGTTTGGAACCTGAGTTTTTTTGGAGTTTGTCTAAAACTTTACTGTAGTGCACTGTAGAAGTTTTTGAAAAAATTTTGTAAAAGTTTTTGTAAGGTGAAAAACTTTTTTGTAAGGTGAAATTTTTTTTTCCTTTTCTTTTTTTTTTCTTTTTTTTTTCTCTTTTTCTTTTTCTTTCTTTCCTTTTTCTTTTCTTTCCTATCTTCTTCTTCTTCGTCCCAGCAGCAACGCAGACACAGCAACAACGCAGCAACGCAGCCTCGCCCAACAGCCTGCTCCACCCCCTACTCCGCCACCAGCCCCACCTCCAACACCTCCGCCAAGGCCTCCTCCAGCGCCTCCTCCCATGCCTCCACCTGCTCCACCTCCGGCACCACCACCAATGCCTCCACCAGCTCCTCCTCCTACTCTCCCGCCTGCTCCACCTCCAACTCCACCACCAGCCCCACCTCCTGTACCACCACCTGCTCCTCCACCAGCACCTCCTCCAACGCCACCACCAGCACCAGCACCACTACCTTCACCTCCTCCAACTCCAGCACCACCATCGGCTCCTTCAGCAGCACCTCCTCCAATGCCACCTCTCGCCACCCCTCTCCTCCCTTTCCCCTTCTCCTCCCCCTTGCCCTTCCCCCTCCCTCTTCCCTCGCCCGGCAGTCAAGGCACACCTCTTCCACAAGCCAGTCAATTTTTTTTTTTTTTGCAATTTTCGGCCATCCCCTCTTCTCCCCCTTCCTGCAATCTGGAAAAATCCCCCTCCTCGGCGCTATCTAGGACACCGCTTCTGTGAGCTCAAAAACGACGAACAGTCCAAGTGTACAGGGCACCGCTTCTGTCTGGCAAAGTGTTTTGGAGTTTCAAAACAAGATGCGGCAAAACGACGTCGTTTTGCTCAAAGTTTAACAAGGGGACCGTGTGAGTTTTTTGGAAGTTTTTTGGGTTCCTGTAGCAAAAGTTGTATAAAAACTAGTAGCAAACAAACTTGCTCAAAAACTTGGGTTCCAAACACCCCCTATAATTGCTCATAAAATTCCCCAAGAAAATATTTCTAGCCAGAAAATGCAGAAAACATGCCATTAAAGGGGAAAAACCCTAGGAAAATATTAGGGCAATACGGGTTCTCACACTCTCTCCCCCTTAAAGAAATTTCGCCCTCGAAATTTTACCTTGCAAAGTTAAAGTAACCAATGACCTGTACCTTCTTCGTCGTCAGAGTCAGAAGAAACGAGGTTCTTTATTCCAGTCCCTTCTCCACTTGACAGTCCAGGGTCGGTCTTGGTTGGTTGTTGGGTTCCTTTCTTTTCACGCGCTAAACCCGGGCAATTAGCAATCAGATGCTCGGCGCTCCCACAACACAGACATCTCCTCCCCTTTAACCAACAATCCACTTCAATATGATTGGATTTTCTACAATAACTACAATTTGTCACACCACCCGATCCACGGCCTCTCTTAGCAAATGGCCTTCCAGCTTTACCCTTTTTCTTTGCATGGAAGATCTTCAGTTGTGGCCTTACAATTCCTATCTTTTGAGCTTCCTCTGGAATCCCCATATAAGTATTGCTTTGTGCCATTGCTACTGTCTCCTTGGAAATCTCTTCGTATTTCCTCTTTAGCTCCATGTTTTGGTGTAAGAGCTCAAGTTTCTCCGAATACTCTTGCTTCCATCGCCCTTCCCAGTACTCGACTAGCCTCCTTTGAACCTGTATTTCGTCTCGGAGAACCGCGATTTCTTGATACGGATCAACCCAGTGTGTCATCGTACGGAGTTGCTGGAACTTAGATGCTAGCCTGTCGGGCAAAACAATGGGTCAATTACATTCCTAAGTACAAGTGGCATTCTCGGTCCTTGTCCAGCTATTGTTTCCCTTTCTTCTCTTGATTCTTGGCCTCCCTTAGCTCCACGGCCACGACCACATCCGTGTTTCCGTCTTTCTTACAATATATATATTTTTTTCCTCTCCTTGTTTTTTTCCCCCCAAAGATATTTGAGTAAATAAACATAGCAATAGGAAATTGACTAAAGTATCTAAAATCGAAACCACCAATTACACAAATAAACATATATGCACATAACATTCCACATATCAAGGAAACAAATGATCAAATATACAAATACGTATCAAATTAGGCAATTATTCATATACACAATTACACAACCGACGGCATGTGGTAACAACATACGAGCGAATCAAAAGAAAAGGGATATATCGTCACAAACCTCTAAAATAACCCCGTCCGGTCTCTCACATCACCTATTATCCAAATGAAATATCCATTAATCTCTTGTACTCATTCCAATCGAACAAATCTTAATCATGTTCCCAAAATGCAAATCTCACATACGTAACATCGCCTCAACTCTGGAGTACTCAGGCACAAGAATCCGAAATAAGACAATTCACCTCTCGAGCTGGCCAGTCCCAAGAGTAAACCATCTACAATCGAAATTCCCACCAGACGTACCGATCTATGTTCCTCAGAGACCACAAGAAAAGTTAAGGCCTATAACATTCACAATTCAGAGCTTAGGCTCGAACGAGCACTTAATCCTTCATATCTATTCACCACCTAGTCCAGGCTCACTCCGCGCAGAGACCACGCGAAGCAGGCTCTGATACCAACTGTAACAGCCCCACTTTCCCCTAAGGCGAACCAAAGGGGTTAGCAGACTGCCTGCCCAGCTCTCGCCAGGACTACGGATCAGACTAGAACTATCTATAGCGATCCGGAACTTACGAACGAGCGTAAACGAATCAAAATGGTAACATTACCCCAAAATAAAAAATGAAATCCGGAGTCGGCCATTAATAGTGACCGACCCGTCAGAACCCAACCGAAATAGCCAACAAACATTCACATCTGAACTTTAGCGATTACAATCCACAATGACATACATAAGTTTTCAAAAGTTCATACATATACACGGTTTGCCAAATCAAAAGAGAAAACGCCTCAAAAGTCCACTTAGGGTTTTACTACATGAGCTATACAAAGGATATGTTTAACTAGCTCAATTTGGCAGCCATTTGTCAAATCCAGACCAAAAGTGTTTATTTTCCTGTAAGGAAAACAAAAGGGAATAGAAAGGGGTGAGCTTGCGCTCAATGAGGTACCAAACAGATAGCATTAAAATCATGGCATTTCACATTTAACAAAGCAGATACACATGTCAGATGTAAAGCAAAAGAACCAATGATTCAAATCAGAAGGATACGGATGGCTCTCAGGAGCCAAATTTTCCCAGCGCAGTACTTGATCCAAACCGGTTGACTCTCTGTCAACGTATATCGAACCAACGCGTCCGTAGACCCCTCTTTACACCGAATTCCGTCCACCAAACACCCCTTTACCGGGCCCGCTCACCGTAACTGAACAGAAATGGTAATACTCGAGTATACCCGGAATCAAGGGTCTCAATACCCAAAGATCCCAAAACAGACTACCGTGGTTCGTTATCTAATCGTCCAGGCCCTTGCCGGCCCGACTCGAATAACTTAGCCACAGGATTTGAGCTCATAGGTCACAGAAAGGTCGTTGGACTCAAGCTTCCAAACGACGTCAGAACAGATACAGATCCAGATACAGATAACAGATTCAGATACAGAACAGATAGCAGATTCAGATACACATTCAAAATTGGCATATGACCAGACCAGAGAACGAGTGTGATAAAGTACACCCTCGCCTCCATTTGATCAAAACAGTACTTGGCTTCAATAGTCATAAATCAAGTATTCAAATATTCAGATATTTCACATAAAGGGTAGCAGGCAGTGGTACACTCACCGGCTCAACTTTCACTTCAGATTGGCCTTAATCGCCAAGAAACCCTAACATAATCAAAATAAACCAATTGAAGGTTTCATATCCAAATCGAGCAAACGGAATGCACAAGTGAGGCTCGACTACACGTCGTATGCCTTGCCAAATAAATACTAATGCAAGGGTGCAAGAACATGATTTCCTTGGAAACAAAAAGATAACATGAAGACCTAGGGTCAACAACCCAAAAGCCCTTCATTTCCATCAAAAGGCAAATCCAACTTAAAGAACCAAACGGCCTAGAACTCGGACAGCATTTCCCCTAAATTTCTTACTTTTCCAGCCATTAAGGCTTCATTACTTCCTCAAATCAGTCCCAAAACCTCACACAAAAGTCATCTCATTTCCCAAAAGCCGTTCACTAGGCTCCAAGTAATACAAGTACAAAAGTTAGCTAGGAAATGACCGGAATAAGAGTAAGCCTTAAAACATGCAAACAAGTACAATGAGACTCGATAACGAATCATAAAGCCATGCCAATCACAACCCCAATAGGGTTTCATATACATATATATAAGCATAATAGCAAACCAGAAATTCAGAAAATATAACTCATTTGATCAATCAACAAAAACAGTTTTGGCCTCCGTATGCGGTAATGGCACAAAATACGTTACGCTTATCGGATGAGGGTGTAAGACCCACCATCTCGAAGCTAAAAGACAGGGTTACAACAATGTAGAAGGCCTCTCAGTCCAAATCCTAGTACAACTAGGTCAAAAATGCAGAAAACCAAGCCAGAACCGTAATTGCAGGTTCCCAAATCACACAAAACTGTAATCAGTCCAAGTCAGTCTATACAGGTCAAAATGCATTGATTCCAAAGGCATATGAAAGCTAAGACATCAAGATACATTTCATCAGAAGACACCATCAACAAAATCCAAATCAATTCCAGTCAAAACAGACAATTACTATCGCAGTTCGCACATTCTGATCACCAAAAACAGCAACAGTAAAAACGGCATAACTCACTCTACACTACTCCAAATTCCCTGAACTTTTGTAGACACTTCAAACTCATCAATGCCTACAACTTTCATGTTTTGAGAAAATTCCAATTCGGCCTCTATCTATGACCTAAAATTTCGGACAGATTAGGGGTTCATGAACCCTAACTTTTCACATTTCAATCCAAATCCAAAATTGATTGCATTTATCATCAATTCACACCTACTAGAGTCAAAGCCCCTTATTACTAACCATCAAAAACAACCACACCATCAATATCATATGAAACCAGAAAATTCCTCATAAAATTGAAAACTTCACCAAATCAAGTCAAATAAAGAAATAAATCATATAATCCATCACTTTAGCCACTTCTAAGCCAAACATAAACATCATTAGGTGTAGTAGGGTGTTCAAGCATCACTTACCAAGAAATTAAGAGAGAGAGAGATGTTGGACACCTTAGCTCTTCAAACAAACTCCACCAAACTACTTACTAGCACCAAATAGAAAGGTTTTATGGAATGGAATCAAGATCAAATGGTTGGATGATCACATTCAAGCAAAATGGAAGCAAGAATCTTGAAGAATTTCCTTTCTTCTTAGCTCTTGAAAGTCGGCCACAAGAAGGTAAGAAATGGTAAGTTTTTTCAATTTTTTGTGAGATATTAACTAATTTTGGTCAAAAGTCAAAAATGTGAATAGTAAACCATAAAGTCCAACCAATCATATTGTGACACTTGTCACACTCATTAATGCATTCTTATCTTTCTTTCCCTCTCACATCAATCACTTCACACATTCTACTTATCTCTTAACACCCGATAAATTTTACACAGTATCCGGAATCTAACCTTATTGGCCCAATTTTTCCGAACTTTCCGCACTAGTGGGTCCCACGTCCTTTCTATATACTTAATTTTTCAAAAACTATCCAATGCTAGAAAAATTATCTAAAAACTATGGGCCTGTTTGGAACCTGAGTTTTTTTGGAGTTTGTCTAAAACTTTACTGTAGTGCACTGTAGAAGTTTTTGAAAAAATTTTGTAAAAGTTTTTGTAAGGTGAAAAACTTTTTTGTAAGGTGAAATTTTTTTTTCCTTTTCTTTTTTTTTTCTTTTTTTTTTCTTTTTTCTCTTTCCTTTTTCTTTTCTTTCCTATCTTCTTCTTCTTCGTCCCAGCAGCAACGCAGACACAGCAACAACGCAGCAACGCAGCCTCGCCCAACAGCCTGCTCCACCCCCTACTCCGCCACCAGCCCCACCTCCAACACCTCCGCCAAGGCCTCCTCCAGCGCCTCCTCCCATGCCTCCACCTGCTCCACCTCCGGCACCACCACCAATGCCTCCACCAGCTCCTCCTCCTACTCTCCCGCCTGCTCCACCTCCAACTCCACCACCAGCCCCACCTCCTGTACCACCACCTGCTCCTCCACCAGCACCTCCTCCAACGCCACCACCAGCACCAGCACCACTACCTTCACCTCCTCCAACTCCAGCACCACCATCGGCTCCTTCAGCAGCACCTCCTCCAATGCCACCTCTCGCCACCCCTCTCCTCCCTTTCCCCTTCTCCTCCCCCTTGCCCTTCCCCCTCCCTCTTCCCTCGCCCGGCAGTCAAGGCACACCTCTTCCACAAGCCAGTCAATTTTTTTTTTTTTTGCAATTTTCGGCCATCCCCTCTTCTCCCCCTTCCTGCAATCTGGAAAAATCCCCCTCCTCGGCGCTATCTAGGACACCGCTTCTGTGAGCTCAAAAACGACGAACAGTCCAAGTGTACAGGGCACCGCTTCTGTCTGGCAAAGTGTTTTGGAGTTTCAAAACAAGATGCGGCAAAACGACGTCGTTTTGCTCAAAGTTTAACAAGGGGACCGTGTGAGTTTTTTGGAAGTTTTTTGGGTTCCTGTAGCAAAAGTTGTATAAAAACTAGTAGCAAACAAACTTGCTCAAAAACTTGGGTTCCAAACACCCCCTATAATTGCTCATAAAATTCCCCAAGAAAATATTTCTAGCCAGAAAATGCAGAAAACATGCCATTAAAGGGGAAAAACCCTAGGAAAATATTAGGGCAATACGGGTTCTCACACTCTCTCCCCCTTAAAGAAATTTCGCCCTCGAAATTTTACCTTGCAAAGTTAAAGTAACCAATGACCTGTACCTTCTTCGTCGTCAGAGTCAGAAGAAACGAGGTTCTTTATTCCAGTCCCTTCTCCACTTGACAGTCCAGGGTCGGTCTTGGTTGGTTGTTGGGTTCCTTTCTTTTCACGCGCTAAACCCGGGCAATTAGCAATCAGATGCTCGGCGCTCCCACAACACAGACATCTCCTCCCCTTTAACCAACAATCCACTTCAATATGATTGGATTTTCTACAATAACTACAATTTGTCACACCACCCGATCCACGGCCTCTCTTAGCAAATGGCCTTCCAGCTTTACCCTTTTTCTTTGCATGGAAGATCTTCAGTTGTGGCCTTACAATTCCTATCTTTTGAGCTTCCTCTGGAATCCCCATATAAGTATTGCTTTGTGCCATTGCTACTGTCTCCTTGGAAATCTCTTCGTATTTCCTCTTTAGCTCCATGTTTTGGTGTAAGAGCTCAAGTTTCTCCGAATACTCTTGCTTCCATCGCCCTTCCCAGTACTCGACTAGCCTCCTTTGAACCTGTATTTCGTCTCGGAGAACCGCGATTTCTTGATACGGATCAACCCAGTGTGTCATCGTACGGAGTTGCTGGAACTTAGATGCTAGCCTGTCGGGCAAAACAATGGGTCAATTACATTCCTAAGTACAAGTGGCATTCTCGGTCCTTGTCCAGCTATTGTTTCCCTTTCTTCTCTTGATTCTTGGCCTCCCTTAGCTCCACGGCCACGACCACATCCGTGTTTCCGTCTTTCTTACAATATATATATTTTTTTCCTCTCCTTGTTTTTTTCCCCCCAAAGATATTTGAGTAAATAAACATAGCAATAGGAAATTGACTAAAGTATCTAAAATCGAAACCACCAATTACACAAATAAACATATATGCACATAACATTCCACATATCAAGGAAACAAATGATCAAATATACAAATACGTATCAAATTAGGCAATTATTCATATACACAATTACACAACCGACGGCATGTGGTAACAACATACGAGCGAATCAAAAGAAAAGGGATATATCGTCACAAACCTCTAAAATAACCCCGTCCGGTCTCTCACATCACCTATTATCCAAATGAAATATCCATTAATCTCTTGTACTCATTCCAATCGAACAAATCTTAATCATGTTCCCAAAATGCAAATCTCACATACGTAACATCGCCTCAACTCTGGAGTACTCAGGCACAAGAATCCGAAATAAGACAATTCACCTCTCGAGCTGGCCAGTCCCAAGAGTAAACCATCTACAATCGAAATTCCCACCAGACGTACCGATCTATGTTCCTCAGAGACCACAAGAAAAGTTAAGGCCTATAACATTCACAATTCAGAGCTTAGGCTCGAACGAGCACTTAATCCTTCATATCTATTCACCACCTAGTCCAGGCTCACTCCGCGCAGAGACCACGCGAAGCAGGCTCTGATACCAACTGTAACAGCCCCACTTTCCCCTAAGGCGAACCAAAGGGGTTAGCAGACTGCCTGCCCAGCTCTCGCCAGGACTACGGATCAGACTAGAACTATCTATAGCGATCCGGAACTTACGAACGAGCGTAAACGAATCAAAATGGTAACATTACCCCAAAATAAAAAATGAAATCCGGAGTCGGCCATTAATAGTGACCGACCCGTCAGAACCCAACCGAAATAGCCAACAAACATTCACATCTGAACTTTAGCGATTACAATCCACAATGACATACATAAGTTTTCAAAAGTTCATACATATACACGGTTTGCCAAATCAAAAGAGAAAACGCCTCAAAAGTCCACTTAGGGTTTTACTACATGAGCTATACAAAGGATATGTTTAACTAGCTCAATTTGGCAGCCATTTGTCAAATCCAGACCAAAAGTGTTTATTTTCCTGTAAGGAAAACAAAAGGGAATAGAAAGGGGTGAGCTTGCGCTCAATGAGGTACCAAACAGATAGCATTAAAATCATGGCATTTCACATTTAACAAAGCAGATACACATGTCAGATGTAAAGCAAAAGAACCAATGATTCAAATCAGAAGGATACGGATGGCTCTCAGGAGCCAAATTTTCCCAGCGCAGTACTTGATCCAAACCGGTTGACTCTCTGTCAACGTATATCGAACCAACGCGTCCGTAGACCCCTCTTTACACCGAATTCCGTCCACCAAACACCCCTTTACCGGGCCCGCTCACCGTAACTGAACAGAAATGGTAATACTCGAGTATACCCGGAATCAAGGGTCTCAATACCCAAAGATCCCAAAACAGACTACCGTGGTTCGTTATCTAATCGTCCAGGCCCTTGCCGGCCCGACTCGAATAACTTAGCCACAGGATTTGAGCTCATAGGTCACAGAAAGGTCGTTGGACTCAAGCTTCCAAACGACGTCAGAACAGATACAGATCCAGATACAGATAACAGATTCAGATACAGAACAGATAGCAGATTCAGATACACATTCAAAATTGGCATATGACCAGACCAGAGAACGAGTGTGATAAAGTACACCCTCGCCTCCATTTGATCAAAACAGTACTTGGCTTCAATAGTCATAAATCAAGTATTCAAATATTCAGATATTTCACATAAAGGGTAGCAGGCAGTGGTACACTCACCGGCTCAACTTTCACTTCAGATTGGCCTTAATCGCCAAGAAACCCTAACATAATCAAAATAAACCAATTGAAGGTTTCATATCCAAATCGAGCAAACGGAATGCACAAGTGAGGCTCGACTACACGTCGTATGCCTTGCCAAATAAATACTAATGCAAGGGTGCAAGAACATGATTTTCTTGGAAACAAAAAGATAACATGAAGACCTAGGGTCAACAACCCAAAAGCCCTTCATTTCCATCAAAAGGCAAATCCAACTTAAAGAACCAAACGGCCTAGAACTCGGACAGCATTTCCCCTAAATTTCTTACTTTTCCAGCCATTAAGGCTTCATTACTTCCTCAAATCAGTCCCAAAACCTCACACAAAAGTCATCTCATTTCCCAAAAGCCGTTCACTAGGCTCCAAGTAATACAAGTACAAAAGTTAGCTAGGAAATGACCGGAATAAGAGTAAGCCTTAAAACATGCAAACAAGTACAATGAGACTCGATAACGAATCATAAAGCCATGCCAATCACAACCCCAATAGGGTTTCATATACATATATATAAGCATAATAGCAAACCAGAAATTCAGAAAATATAACTCATTTGATCAATCAACAAAAACAGTTTTGGCCTCCGTATGCGGTAATGGCACAAAATACGTTACGCTTATCGGATGAGGGTGTAAGACCCACCATCTCGAAGCTAAAAGACAGGGTTACAACAATGTAGAAGGCCTCTCAGTCCAAATCCTAGTACAACTAGGTCAAAAATGCAGAAAACCAAGCCAGAACCGTAATTGCAGGTTCCCAAATCACACAAAACTGTAATCAGTCCAAGTCAGTCTATACAGGTCAAAATGCATTGATTCCAAAGGCATATGAAAGCTAAGACATCAAGATACATTTCATCAGAAGACACCATCAACAAAATCCAAATCAATTCCAGTCAAAACAGACAATTACTATCGCAGTTCGCACATTCTGATCACCAAAAACAGCAACAGTAAAAACGGCATAACTCACTCTACACTACTCCAAATTCCCTGAACTTTTGTAGACACTTCAAACTCATCAATGCCTACAACTTTCATGTTTTGAGAAAATTCCAATTCGGCCTCTATCTATGACCTAAAATTTCGGACAGATTAGGGGTTCATGAACCCTAACTTTTCACATTTCAATCCAAATCCAAAATTGATTGCATTTATCATCAATTCACACCTACTAGAGTCAAAGCCCCTTATTACTAACCATCAAAAACAACCACACCATCAATATCATATGAAACCAGAAAATTCCTCATAAAATTGAAAACTTCACCAAATCAAGTCAAATAAAGAAATAAATCATATAATCCATCACTTTAGCCACTTCTAAGCCAAACATAAACATCATTAGGTGTAGTAGGGTGTTCAAGCATCACTTACCAAGAAATTAAGAGAGAGAGAGATGTTGGACACCTTAGCTCTTCAAACAAACTCCACCAAACTACTTACTAGCACCAAATAGAAAGGTTTTATGGAATGGAATCAAGATCAAATGGTTGGATGATCACATTCAAGCAAAATGGAAGCAAGAATCTTGAAGAATTTCCTTTCTTCTTAGCTCTTGAAAGTCGGCCACAAGAAGGTAAGAAATGGTAAGTTTTTTCAATTTTTTGTGAGATATTAACTAATTTTGGTCAAAAGTCAAAAATGTGAATAGTAAACCATAAAGTCCAACCAATCATATTGTGACACTTGTCACACTCATTAATGCATTCTTATCTTTCTTTCCCTCTCACATCAATCACTTCACACATTCTACTTATCTCTTAACACCCGATAAATTTTACACAGTATCCGGAATCTAACCTTATTGGCCGAATTTTTCCGAACTTTCCGCACTAGTGGGTCCCACGTCCTTTCTATATACTTAATTTTTCAAAAACTATCCAATGCTAGAAAAATTATCTAAAAACTATAATTGCTCATAAAATTCCCCAAGAAAATATTTCTAGCCAGAAAATGCAGAAAACATGCCATTAAAGGGGAAAAACCCTAGGAAAATATTAGGGCAATACGGGTTCTCACAATGAGCTTGTGTGAAGTGAGCAAAATATAAAAGATAATAGTGTGTAAGTGGGAGTGTGGAAATGGGTGTGCAAGGTGAGGTATGTAAAGTGATAGTGTGAAGTGCATGTGTGCTCAGTGGTAGTATATAAAGTGCAAGTGATAGAGTGAAAATGTGCAAAATAAGAGTTGTGTGAAGTGAAAATGTGGAACAAATGATAGAATGTGGAGTAAAAGTGCAAAGTGATAGTGGATAAATAAAATGCATGAACCCTAAAGGAATGCAAGCAAGATGGGTACGGGGAGACCCTAAATCGTGACTTTTGCTTTTCCTTTTGGTTAGAAAAAGAATGAGCGTGCTAAGGTACGGAGAGAAGTGGGGGCGTCACAAAATGGATTTTCATTGGTCGAGTGTGTACTTTATCGCACTTGACCTAAGCGAAAGTGAATTTTCAAATGATTAACTGATTGAGTATTACTTGTGCATGAATGTAAGTTATGTAGGTTGTATGGTACCGTATTGGCTGAATTGGGCCCTTGCTCTTCGTTGTCAGTCGACTCGAGCCAAAAATGGGTTCGGTCGGGTGACTGGTGACCCTAGGATAATGTTTGGTATACTCGAGTATGACCACGAAAGTTGGTGGAGAACTGGCCAGTGAATTGGCTAGTGGTGGGAAATAAAATGAATGAATTGAAATGTTGAAATTATAAGAGAAAAAAATGAATGACTAAATGAAGGAGAATGACTGGCTGAATGAATGAATGATTGAATGAATGGCTCCAAGTGAGCATGTATCCTTTTAATGAGTGTGTTCTCATTGTTTTTATATTATGAATGTTTTCTCGATTGATTGTTATTAATTGAATAATGTCCTCATTTCAGTTGTTTGGTTATGTGTATAGGAACCTCACTGAGCTTTTAGCTCATTTCTTTAGTCTTTTGTTTTCCTTATAGGGTTCTGGAGCAAGGACGGGTGATTAGAGGACGACTAGAACTTTTGTTGTGTAATAGTGATAGTATTAGTAGTTGGTTGGATCCTGAACTTTTGTACTTAACCTTGAGGATTGTATATCTGTATTAAAGTGTGTATATATGTTAAGTTTGATTGGCACATCTTTACTTGCTCTTAAAGTTATAAGTGAGTGAGCCCCGGTGAGAGTTGGGCAGGCGGTTCGCCGAACCCTTTGGTTCGCCTTAGGGGGAGGTGGGGTCGTCACATCTCCCCTACAGGTTTAGCACATTTTAATCGATCTTCAACATTGCTCTATTGTTGTACTAACTTGGACTATAACTTTCTTAATGATGGAAATTGATTAGCATTTATTTTACATATTTTTAGTTAGGTTTAGGGTAAGTTTTTGGTGTGTTTAAGTTAAAATGGAAGAATTGAATTCCTTTGTAAGTTACTTTTCATACAAGTAGTGTTACTTAACCAAAACATGCAAAAGTGTGGGTTAATATGCAAATTTGTGTTGCTTTTGTAGATTTTGGTATCCTTTGAATTGATTCAAGACAAGAAGACTTTGATAGCTTTGACACACCTTGGTATTTTGGCTATATCTTGAGCTACAAGTATCGGATTGAGATGATTCTCGAGTCATTTTAAAGCTAAAACATAGCTCTACAATTCTTATGAGACATCAAAATCCAGTTCTTTGATTTTCTTGGCCAAAAACCTGAAATTCAGTTAGGAAAATTTCTATCAAAAGCTGAAACAGAGCATCACTAGTCAGGGGTATTTTGGATATTTCTCAGCTCACAAGATCCAAATGAAATTATTTTTGATGCATTGGAAAGCTAACTCAAAGAGCTACAACTTTGATGATTGTGCAAGAGCTAATTCGATTTCCATCATCAAGAAAAATGCAGTTAATTTGGTCCAAAAACACAGCAAAGCTGAGATTTGAGCAGAAAGGGAAAAACTGAAGACAATGAAGATCCGTGAAGTGATCAGCGAGCTACACCTCACGGATCTAGGGTCGTAAATGCTAAGAAACAGCTGCAACTTGATTTTACAGCTTGTACTCATTTCAAATTACTTTGTGGACCAATTTTTCTGATAAAATTGGATTGGAACCAGCTAAACTTGAGTTGAAAAAGTGAAGAACAAATTTATGACCACATTATGAGCACATTTTCTCATCCAAGAACATCTGTAAATACCCGTTGTATATAAATCTTTGGCAATCTTTTAGCACCTTAGAGTAGAAATAGTTTAGTTCTGACTTCATATTAAGAGTTTCTTTCTTAGTTTAAAGAGTTTTGCGAGGAAGGTGAAAACACTCTTGTACCAAATTTATTTGAGAGATCAACATGTGAAGAAATTCAAGGATTCAAACTTCAAGATATTGAATAATAATTCTTCAACATGTGAAGGAATTCAAGGATTCAAACTTCAAGATATTGAATAAGAATTCTTCATCCTAAATGTTCTCTCTTGTTCTTATTTGTCTAGTTTTGTAACAAGTTTGTTCATGCTTAGATGCTCTTAACATGATGTCTAGCTAAACTTTTTCATATCCGAGGGTGAAGAGGATGTGAGAACCCTCATTTTTAAAATACAATTTCCCCAAACTACATGCCTTGCACCAAGATTTAAACCACCTCTTATATGCCCTAGTGCAGAGGCCCCGTCCTGGGCCGAGACACGTGGCAGCCCAGGAAGGCCAGAGTTGGGCTCGGACCTCAGGCCCATGACCACCATCCTGAGGCACACCGCCGCTAGGGCTCCGAAGGATTCCAGAGAACAATCCCGCAGAGGGCGGGAAAGATCCCCCTCGGCGCGGGATTGAGACTATTCTGGGCAGGTCCCGAAACCTACGGAGGTCGGACTCACAAGCAGGTATAAATGGTAACGCACATCCACTGCACAGGGTACGGTCACTACTGGCAAACTACCACCGACTGTTTTACTTCTTGAGAATTCCACTCACCGGAACACTAACTTGACCGTCGGAGTGCTCCCGGGGACAACCTCGGGGCTCCCCTGCTAGTCATCCTATAGACCTCTTCTCGTTTATTTTGCAGGGCTTGGACACGTTTTTCTCATCAGCACGCCGAGTTCATCAGGTCAGCTTAGTCCGGGGAAGCTCAGCGCTTCTTCAGTTGGCGCCGTCTGTGGGAACGTTAGGTACGAGTAGTTGTGTTGATGGCGAGAACGCGTTCGAAGCGAACCGTAGAGAACACCGATCCTGGAGCCGGCGAGGGGTCCCGGCGAATGGAGACCGAGGCGGCCCGGGGCCCCGGGGGCTCAGCCCTTTCTGGGGAACGGAGACAGCAGATCTTTCAGTTTGTGACGGAGAACCTCCCCATGCTGGAGGACATAATTCGACAAGCGAAGGAGGGGGGTGAAGTCAGAGGCGCACAAACCTCCAAGGCCAAAGGGGAAGGAGAGGGAATCACCTCCCGTTCCCTCAGAGGATGAGTCACGGGACCAGCCCCCCAAGAGGAAACGGCCACGGACTCCCCCTCGGCCGCGGGCCTCGGAGGTAAGGGATAGCGAGAGATATTCTCGCGACCGGTCCGTTGGGGGTCGACCAAGGAATCCCTCCTAGTGGAAGCTTGCGCGGAACGAGCCTCAACGTTCCCCCGCCCGATCTATCAAGAGCCGGCCGCGCGACCCTCCCTAGTGGAAGCCTGTTCGGGACGAGCTCGAGCAGATCCTGCGGCCGCAATTGTACGAGGACAACTACACAGCCTCGCCCTTTACACGAGGGATAGAGGACTACCCATTACCTCGGAGATTCAAGATCCCGAACATCGAACTATACGATGCTTCGACCGACCCGGAAGACCACCTCTCAGTCTTCCTGACGCACATGCATCTGCAAACCGCTGCAGATGAAGTCCGCTGCAAAACCTTTCCCATGTTTCTGAAGGGGAAGGCCCGGCTCTGGTTCCAGGGTCTGGCACCGGGGTCCATCCGGAATTTCCCCGTGCTGGCCAGACAATTCGTCGCCCAGTTCGTCTCCTCGAAGACTTACTCGAAAAATGCAGCTCACCTGATAGCAATCAGGCAGAAGCCGGACGAGTCCCTGAGGAATTTCATGACCCGCTTCAACACGGAGAGCTTGCAGATCAGGGACAAGGATGAGAAGGTGGTCATGGCCGCCTTCATGAACGGGCTCAGGGCGGAGGAGCTCTTCTACAAGCTGGCTGAGAAGCCTCCTGTGGACCTGAAGGAGCTCTTGATCAGGGCACACGCTGCCGCTAACGCGGAGGAGGCGGCACGCCTGAAAAGGGAGTCGGATCGGGAGCTCGGCGATCGGAGAGGACGTGGAGACCCCGAAAATAAAGACGGCCCGGCCAAGAAGAACGTTTTTGACCGACTCTCAAAGGAGAAAGCCCCCGCTCAGCCACCGCTTCCAGAAAAAGGGTACACCCCCCTGACTCGACCCAGAGCCAAAATCCTAGCCGTTATGGAGGCGGAGGGCCTGGGGGAACGGCCGCCTAAGATGGGGACACCCCGGAACAAGAGAAACCAGGACCGGTACTGTGCCTTCCACCGTGATGTTGGGCATGATGCGGAGGGGTGCTGGGCCCTGCGAAAGGAGATCGAAGCTCTGATTCAGCGCGGCTTCCTGGGGCGATTCGTGCGGTAAGGTCGACCAAATCAGGAGCCAGGACCCACCTACCGCGGAGACAGGGGCGAGAGCCAGCGTCGCGACCGCCCTGAGCGGCGTGACGTTCCTCGGGGCAACTTCCCCGACCAGGACACCCAGAACTTAGCAGGGGTGATAAACACTATCGCTGAGGGCCCCATGGGGGGGACAGCCATGCAGCTCGGAAGAACAGGCGGCCTCCCCCCGAGGGGGATGATTCCCTGAAGCGCTTGCGCATGGATAAGGAGATCACCTTCGGACCAAGGGATGCGGTTCCCCTGGCGTCTGGAAACCACGAGGCCATCGTGATAGACGTCGTGACCAATAACTATCGGGTGAAGAAAGTGTACGTCGACCAGGGGAGCGCATTGGACATCCTGTTTTACAGGGTGTTCAAGGAGCTCGGCTTGAAGGACGGACAGCTAACCCCGGTTCGGACACCCCTGGTGGGCTTCACCGGACCGCCCATCAATCCGGAGGGGAAGTTCACCCTGATGGTCACGGTAGGGCAGGCGCCCAAATACTGGACCATCCCCGTCAATTTCGTGGTGGTCAAACAACAATCCCCATACAACGTGTTCTTGGGACGGCCCGCCTTGAATGCCCTCCGAGCTATCCCCTCGTCTCTCCACCTCAGCGTCAAATTCCCCACCCCGAGAGGAATAGCTGAGGTGCATGGAGATCCAGAGGTGGCCAGAGCTTGCTACTTAGCCATGCTCCGGGGGCAGGAGAAGGTGGTCGCCCAGACGACCAGCCTGGAGCCCTATATCCCAGGGGAGGAGGCTCGGCAGTTGGGCACCCAGGACGAGATCAAGGGGTTCCCCCTGAGGGAGGACAGGCCCGACCAGGTCCTCCGCATTGGCGCGTCGCTACCCCCCGAGGAGAAGGAGGGTTTGAAGGCCCTATTGATAGAATAGTCCCAGGTCTTCACGTGGACGGTTGAGGACATGCCCGGGATCCCAACTGACCTAGCCGTCCACCGCCTCAACGTGGATCCCCGCTTCAAGCCGGTGAAGCAGAAGAAGAGGAGTTTCGTCCCAGAGAGGAATGAGGTAATCAGGAAGGAGGTCGGCAAGCTGCTGGAATCCAAAATCATTCTGGAGGTATACTACCCGACCTGGTTAGCCAATCCCGTCCTGGTGAAGAAGGAGGACCAATCCTGGAGGATGTGCGTAGACTTTACAGATCTCAATAAGGCCTGCCCAAAGGACTGCTTCCCCTTGCCGAGGATTGACAGGTTAGTAGACTCTACTGTGGGTTTTGACGTCTTGTGTTTCCTGGATGCCTTCAAGGGATACCACCAGATAGAGATGGCCGAAGAAGACCGGGAGAAGACTTCCTTCATCACTGAGGAAGGAACTTACTGCTACCGGACCATGCCGTTTGGGCTAAAGAACGCCGGAGCTACCTACCAGCGCCTGGTCAACAAATTGTTCCAGAATCAGATCGACAAGAGTATGGAGGTCTACGTGGACGATATGATCGTCAAGAGTCGAACTGACCGACGGCTCGTTCCCGACCTGAGGGAGATATTAGACATCCTACGGGAGAGCTGCATGCGACTAAACCCGAAGAAATGCACCTTCGGGGTTAGGTCGGGAAGGTTCCTAGGGTACTTGGTGTCCCGAGAGGGGATCCGAGCCAACCCAGATAAACTCCAGGCCATCATGGACATGGCCCCACCAAAGAACGTAAAAGATGTCCAGCGGCTCACTGGAAAGATGGCCGCCCTGAACAGGTTCCTCTCGCGCTCCGCGGTGAGAGGGCTACACATTTTTCGGATCCTGAAGGCGCCCAAGGACTTTCAATGGACCGAGGAGTGCCAGAAGGCTTTCACTGACCTGAAAGCATATCTGGCCGAGCTGTCCACTCTGACCGCCCCAGAGCAGGGATACTCACCAAGCCTGAGGTCTCGGGCCGGATGACCAAGTGGGCCGTCGAGCTAGCCGAGCATGACATTGCCTATCGACCCCGCACCGCTATCAAAGCTCAGGCCCTGGCGGACTTCCTTGCTGAGGGAGCCAGCTTGTCCCTGGCCGAGCCGATCTCTCCGCTCAAGGAGGCACGGCCGGGAGAGCCGTGGGTACTGTTCATGGACGGGGTCTCGAGCAAGGAAGGGAGCGGAGCCAGCCTCCTGCTCATCTCGTCCACCGGGAAGGAGCTAACCTACGCGCTTAGATTTGACTTCCTGGCATCCAACAACGAGGCAGAATACGAGGCCCTGCTGACTGGATTGCGGATAGCCCACCAGATGGGTGTAACCGCGATCAAAGCCCGGAGTGACTCCCAGCTCGTAGTCCACCCGGTTCGCGGAGAGTACGAGGCCAAGGAGGACATCATGAAAAAATACTTGGCCAAGGTACGGGAGGCGATAAGCCTGTTTCATGTCTTCAAAATCGAGCGGGTGGCAGGATCACAGAACAAGCGTGCGGATGCCCTGTCAAAACTGGCATCCTCCTCGTTTGCGCATCTGAACAAGAAAGTCTTGGTAGAGTTGGTCAAGCAAAAAAGTATTGGCCAGGTCCAAGTCTTGGCCATAGACAGCCCGGCCACTTGGATGACTCCTCTCGTAGACTTCCTCAGATCGGGTGTCCTCCCCAAGGATAAAACCGAGGCTCGTCTACTCCAGCTCAGAGCTGCTAAGTACGCCTACGCTGGGGGGACCTTCTACAGGAGGTCGTATTTGTCTCCCTGGCTAAAGTGCGTGACTCCCGAGGAAGGCGACTATGTCCTCTGAGAAGTTCACGAAGGCCTGTGCGCAGCACATGTGAGGTCCCGAGTGTTGGCCAAAAAATGCCTGCTCCTAGGCTACTACTGGCCCTCGGTGTTTCGGGATGCCGCGGCTCTCGTTCAGAAATGCCGAGCTTGCCAGGTACACGCCCCGCTGCGTCACCAACCCACTCGGGAGATGGTTCCCATCCACCGTCCTTGGCCCTTGGCCCTTTGCCCAGTGGGGAATAGACCTCCTGGGTCCCTTTCCCCGAGCTCCCGGAAGGTACGAGCACCTCGTGATGGCCATCGACTATTTCACAAAGTGGATGGAGGCCGAGCCCCTGGCCACTATCTCTGCAAGGGCAATTCAGAAGTTCTTCTGGAAGAACATAGTCTGCCGCTTCGGGATCCCGCATGTCTTGATATCCGACAATGGGCAACAGTTCGCCGAAAACCCCTTCAGGAGCTGGTGCGCCGAGCTCGGGATCAGCCAACATTTCACCTCGATCGGCCACCCCCAGGCCAACGGCCAAGTAGAGAATGTTAATCGAACCTGTCTACAAGGGCTGAAGACTAGGCTGGAACTGGCCCAGTCTAACTACCTAGATGAACTCCCTAGCGTCCTCTGGGCCTACAGCACCACGCCATGGACGGCCACTCATGAGACCCCGTTCTCCCTGACTTATGGGGCAAAGGCGGTGGTGCCCGCGGAGGTCGGCCTCCCCTCGCCTCGGACACAGAACTTCATTGTGTCGGCCCCTATTTTGCCCGGCCGCCTTCTTCTTGCTGGCAACCTGCTTGAGGCGGGAGCTGAGGGTACACCTTAAACATGCTGAGAGGCGTGTGGTGAAGGCTATTCAAAAAGATATCTATGGAGATCACAGACTGCGGGGCATTGAAACCTATTCATTTTGAATGGTCTTTCAGGAGCATTATTGGAGCATGGTCACATCCTTACAAGAAGATGGAAAGGGTTTCTGGAGTGGCCGCTACCCTAAGCCACCGGCTCCTTCCCGGAAGCCCTGCCGGGAGCTTCGTCCTCCTCCAAGGGAACCTCCGCCAGCTCGGCGCCCACATCACTCCTGCCTACCAGGTCCTTCAGGGCATGCCCCTTGCAATACCCGTCAAAAAACCAGTCAAGCTTCTCCTCGGCTGCGGGGTTGTAGTCTTTGAAATCAGCCAAGTTGAAGCCAGGCAGGTTGAGGCCCTGCACCTGGTCCAGGGCTCGCGTGAAGCCGACCTGGAGGATGGGCTGGTTGAGGAGGGCGACGTCTTCGGCAAACTTCTCGGAGGAGATGAACTCCCGAACAGCCGTCTTACGATCCCGGCTGACGGTGCCGGAGAGCTCAATGGCGTGGTCCTCCTTCAGCTTCGCCACGCCCTTCCTCTCCTGGTCCAACTCTGACCTGGTGGAGGCGACCTGGACCTGAGCCGTCTCCAGCTTCTTCTCGGCCTTGCCCAACTTGGCCTTAAGGGAGTCCGTCTCCTTAAGGGCATGAGCAAGCTTTTGCTCTGTCTCCCGATTCTTTTTCTGCAGTTTCTCCAAGTCGGGAGACAGCTCGGAGAAACGGGTTGCCAGGGCGGCTCCAGCAGCATTGACCTGAGGAGAAGAAAGAAGAAGTTAGCACATTGCACGACTTAGCCGAAAAGTGGGGACACAACTGGCCTAAGGGATAGGGAACTTAGTTGAGCTTGGGCAGTGAAGTACATGTCCTGGAGCTCGGACGGGCTCGCCAGGTCCATCCACCTCCTGTCACGCGGAAGGACCGAGCCCGTGACCAGCTCGTGAGCCACCTCGGGAAACTGGGCTCGGTCGTTGATGGATAGCCCCCAGGATGGACAGAATCGACAGGGGTCGTGCATGGTGGGGGCCTGGCCCGGCTTCACAGGGGCCACGTGGCGGAAATGTCACAAGTTGGGGGGAGGATTCTCCCGGGCGTTCTCCTCCGCGGAGCCAACCCCCAGGTGGACCGGGCCCCCCAACGTCTGCAGGGCAGGGGGCTGTGCTTGGGTGAGGGCAAGCTTCTTCCCGAGCTGGGAGGGTTCATCCCCCCGACCCCTCTTCTGTCCAGTCGCCTTCTTTTTGTTGGCGACCTGCTGGGAGGGGGACTGAAATTGGGATGCCTCCTTCTGGGGAGCCAAGCTGCCCCCGGAAGCCGGAGATGCGTCAGAGGCCTTCTTGGCCTCCTCTGGCTGCGGGGTGAGGGCAGCCTGCACGGGAGGCGTGCCCAACTGCTTGGAAAGCTTCCTCACTGCAGCAAATACCACCAGATCAGTAATAACAAGTTAGTAAAAGGGAAAATAAAGCGACAGACTACAAGTGCACAGAAGCGGCATTACAGGTATCATCGTCGGCCGGGGAGGGCACCACCTCTCCAGGGGACCCGGACAACGTCCCCATCAGCCCGACCGCAGATATCTGCTCGGTGGAGAACTTGGCCCCATAGAGCTTCACCTTGGAGCTCACCAGCTGGCTGAGGGCTTCGGAATCCAAGTCCTCCGGGTTGGGGTCGGATTCAACCTCCCCGACCTTCCACACATCAGGGGAAAAATGTGTGGACTTAACAAAGAAGAAGTCCCCCTTCTAGTTCTTCACGGAAGAGGGGACCACGAAGAGTAGGTCCTGGGTGCCCTTCCTACCCCGAACTTTGCCAACAGTTCGGCGGGAGAAGTAGTACCACCCAGGAAGGGAGAGCTTGAGGGTGTAAGAGGCTCGGAAAAGAGAAAGAGAATAGGGGATGGAGCAGATTTGGCAATGGATCCGGAACCTAGTGATGATCCTGATCGAGTTGGGGTGGATTTGGGTGATTCTGAGCCCCCAGTAGCTCAGAATCTCGGCTAGGGCCGAAGGAATGGGGAGTCGGAACCTCGTGACCAGCTGCTCCGTATAGATGGCTACGAAGCGAGGGGGAGGTCGGCTAGCTCGGTCGCTGGGCCTGGCAGCCCTCGGCCCGAAGGCCGGAGGAATGGAAAAGGACTTAACCAGCTCGGCCATTCCCCCGGGTGAGAGGGTGACATCTTGCTGGTCAGGTCGACCGTAGTCGATTTCGGGATCATCCCCCTGCTCAGGAGCAGGGGTCCCCTCGGAGGAATCCCTATCCTCGCCTGCCCCTCCCTGGGCTCCGCCAGGGAAGTCATGTGGTGACCTGGAGGAAGGAATGGAAGTAGCCTACCGCTCGATGAGGGCATCGAGCTCGGCCACCTC